TCCCCAGTTTGTTATCTGAATGAACATTATCTTTATTTGGCCGAGTCATTTTTAAAACCCCTATTCCTCCGTTTAATATCTTGTTCCTTCCTTCCTCATTGAGGTAACATGTGAATAAAAGGGCCATGTGAAGTATTTGTCTCTTCTTAAAAGATAGGCACAGGATGTAAACTAGATAAAATATGCTTTGGCTTACCAGTATTTTTGGGTGCTTCCAAATAACCTAAATAGAAAATTATACTTTGAGCTCCTTAGACGAAAGGTACTCCAAGCATCTGACAGAATACTATTAGATGTGGTATTTAGAAATCTGTAAGCTAACACTAGAATTTTAAAACTAGAATATATTAACTGTACATTTGTATTATTTTTTTTCAACTGATTATATCAAAGCACTTCACAAACAAGTGATGTCTCTAGTTTGTACTGTTGGGGAGACTGAGGCATGGGGAGATTAAGTGACTGGCCCATGCTTACAGAATGAGTTATGGACAATTCTGGAAACTGAAGATCTTCCCTATTCATCATACTAGGTATAACATGGAAGTGTCAGTCAAAGCTTCACTTTCTTTCCAGATGCTTCTGTCCTGTCCTTTTGGGCCTTGTCTCCAAAGGTGAGAAGGTGGTTCAGGTTCCACAACTTGTTCAGTCTTTGGTCTCTTGGCAGAGGCTTCCAACAAGCTGACAAGTAACTGCCAAAAATATGACAGGTGGTACTTTTTATGACATTGGCCCTGGATAGACTCTTGCTAGTGATTCTCCACCTCAGGCTACTCTTTGAAGAACTATACAGTAGTATCAGTATTGTTATGGCTGACCTGGGTAGGATTTGTGCTAGTAAATGCTATAAATGACCGCTGTCCTGTTAGGATTGCTAGGGCTGTCTGGTCTTGGAGTATCCTGAAGGAGAGGGATCAGAATGTACGTGCCCTTATTTGAGGAAATACCCTCCATGACCTTTTTCTTTGTATAGAGATGTAAGTCTAGGGGTGGTGGTTCTCAACCTTCTGGCCCTTTAAATACAGTTCCTCAGTTGTGACCCAACCATAAAATTATTTTTGTTGCTACTTCATAACCGTAATGTTGCTACTGTTATGAATCGTCATGTAAATATCTGATATGCAGGATGGTCTTAGGTGACCCCTGTGAAAGGATTGTTCGACCGCCAAAGGGGTCGCGCGACCCACAGGTTGAGAACTGCTGGGCTAGAGGTCTCTGACCTGCAAATGACGATACCTGAAGAAGCACTTTAAGGATACTTGTTACCTCTCATCTGAGTGCCCCAACCATGTCTTTAGCCCTAAATGCCAGAATTGGAGGATGGGGGCAAAGACCTCCAAGACCTAGAAAAGGGCAGAGACTGAAAGGAGGGAGTTGGAGTTCAATGTTCAGGAATGAATCAAGCAGGAATCTCAGGCAAGGGAATCAGGAACACAGACTAGAAGCACTGATATAGAGAAATGTTATTTCATGTGGATAAAATAAAGCTGCCCATTAATGTTAAAATAATTTTATTAAAATATTAAATGGCCAT